ACACACACACACACATACATAGACTCACACACACACACACACACACACACACACACTTGTAAATCCAGGTTGTGTTGTTTCCAGCAGCAGTAGAAGTTTATGAGCGTTTGGACGGGAGAATACTTGCTCAGGTCACGACATGGGGTTACTGTGTGTGTGTGTGTGAATGGGAGCGGTGTTTTATTTGTTTTGAAAAATAAAAAAATATTTTCAACTTTGTTGCGTCTCATTTTCCAGCGATCAACATGAACAATTTGTAATGAAAAAGCTTTTTCTTGCTGCAGCTTCACGTCTTTATTTAAAGTCTTTTACTATAAATTATATGTATGTTACATTATTTTTAACCCTTTTTTTTCAACCCTTTCCACGTGTAATCCCCTTCTCCTTGTTAGACTTAGTTTCCTCTTGTTGTTTGTACAGTTTAAAAATAAACTTAAATTCATTTTTTATAGGTTAACTTCATTAAATGGGGATTTTTCACTCAGTTGTTTACACAGAGGTTCGGTGCTCAAAGGCAGCTGGACTTAAACCGACCACTTCTCCCTACAGGCTGAGCTGCTGCCGGCCTCCTGAAATACAGATTATTATAGATTATAGATTATAGTAACAGTAGAAAGCACATGAGATGAGTGTGACCTCTCAAACCCAAGTTCACATAATCATTTTCATTCATTTTGCTCAATTATTGCCTGTTTTTTAGAGGTATTTTTGTGTTTTTTTGTGTATTTGTAAGTGTGTTTTAGTGTTTTTATGTGTGTTTTTAAGTGTTTTTGTGTTTTTATTTGTGTTTTTTGTGGGTTTTGTGCGTTTTTTGTATGTTTTTAAGTTTTATTTGCATGTTTTTGTGTGTTTTTGTGTGATTCTCTGTTCTCTGAAGCACAAACAGATATTTATTTTGGCGTGCAGTAATCCAATATGATGCTGACGGTACTCGAAAAATGAATGACATCAACAGTCTCTTAGTATTATAGAGCTGAACTTCACAACACTGAGATGTTTGTGTGATGAAAAAACTGAATATTAGATTAGCAAAGAAAAAGGAGCAGAGAGAGGCTGCCAGCAGCTGTGAACCCTTTAATGTCTCGTGTTCGGCTCCAAGAAGGCTAAAAAAAAGAAAAAGAAATATTAGACTCTCTTTCTCTGGATTCTCCACCCTTGTTCCCTTTTTTTTCATTTTTTCTCTCCCCCTCCTGTTTTACTGCAGGCTGTAAAAGTCAGAGCCAAAACCTGCTGGACACTTTTATATAGAAAACACTAAAACGGCAAACAAGAGCTGATCACGAACATGGGTGAAAGGAAGGGAAAGGAAAAGAAAGGGAGAGAAAGGAAAGGAAAGGATGAAGCAGTGGAAGATATATTTTTAGTCTGTATCTATTAATGTATATATATAGAGAGAAGAGAGGAAGAGAGGGGGGGAGTTAAACTGTGAGTCGCCCAAAAGAGGTCAGTGGATAAGAAAACAACGCTTATATAACAAAGTATATTATATAAAGTATATTATCACACAAATTAAACTTAATTTAAAAAATCCTGTTTATGTAAAACAACAATAAAGTTAATTTAACTCAAGAAGTGTTAAAACTGATTAGATAGAAAAAAACTCAAATTTTCTTGATTAAACAACTTTTAGTAGCAATTGTGAAGTTAAGTCATTTTATCATCTTTTATTTGTACTTTGAAAACAAAAAAGTACAAAATCTTAATTTAATTTTATTATATAATAAACGTAATTACATAATGGACGGAGCTTTAAGTGTCTTAACACCTGCATTATCTGTAACGGTCAGCAGGGGGCGCTCCATTGTCTGCAATAACACAGCGATCCCATTCGCTTTAATGGAGAAATGAGCCGACTTCTAACTTCATTTATGAGCTCAGTAAACAGTTTCCAGACTAGTTTATGGTCTCAGTCGCTGGTTTCACATCTTCTACAATACATTTCGATGTTTATTTAGTAAATGATGGTCCAATTTAGAGTAGAATAGATGATAAAGTCGCGTACGAAACTCAGATCAAACTGTCAAACTAGGCAGTGCTGATCAAATACGAAGCTAGATTGTGTTACTGCGTTGACTATTTTTCACCTAAAATTGTTTCAGAAACATAAATTATGGCGTTACAGTGAAGGACGCGGTTCACAGGGTTAGTTCAGCTCACATTACAAACCCTCATTACTGTAAATGTCTCTGTGCATCTCTGTGTATTTGTTCCTCTTTTTTAGGTCACGGAAGAAGTATTCAAATATCACAAGGAGTTTAATACTGATGCCTCTTTATGTGACCTACATAGAAAACACCGTCAGTGAGACGATTGGCTATTTCAAAAGTCGTTAATCTTATTACCACTGGGTCGGATTCCCCTTGAAATCAATGAAACACTACCGCCTTTGTCCACAGGGGGCGCCAGAATCAACATGACATTAAAGTTCCTTGTTGCAGCTTTAAATAAAGAAGTATTAAATTAAAATGTTCCTCTATGGCTGATATAAGTTTCTGATATAATTAGATTGTTGTTCTGATAGACAAATATACATTAATATTTCCATCTTTTTGTGTTTAAAAGTGTTAAAATCTTTTATAGAGAACTGCTAACAACTCAGAAACAAAGTGAAAGAACAAGAGGATGCAAAACTAGACACTGATTTTACAGTACCAGCTAAAAAAGATTAGTAACCACTGGTTTCATCTTTAATAGTGTATTTTATAAAGCTTAAGCTATTTGAAAAGTAGCTCTTAAATAAGTGTAGTACATACAAAAGTGCAATATTTCAGTTATCCTCTTGCTGCACTTACAGTATATATAACATAACTGTGGAAGAATTATTTGATATTTAATTTTAAGAGGTAAATTATGTATTCGTATAACTTATGATGAGTGTATAAAGTTGTTAATGTAAGCCTTGAAAGTGATAGGTGTTGATCTGAGGTTGCTATATTTATTAGAAATTGAGCTTCAGAGGACGTTTTATAATCACAAGAGTAAGATAATTATTTACATTTTTTTTTTAAATTAAAAGTTGTTATATTTACAAGTTTTTACGCATTTAGGGATATTTTACTGTAAAAAGTACATTATTTGTACTCATGTTATGCTGCTTGTTCAACCCTAATTTTAAGTACAGTAAAAATAACTTAAAAACAAGCCAATAATAACCTGAATCTACCTTTAAACTTGATAACACACATGAAACCGTAGCTCTAAAATCTAAAATATAACTATTTATTACTGATCTATGAAGTACAAGCAGATAAAGGCAGAATATGTGAGTAAAAAGGAGGCCAGCACTGGAAACAGAGACGGAGTGAGCCCTCCTTTTCCTCTCACTGATCCCCTCTTTGACGCATTCCGCAGCAGCGACAACAGGTGTGGCGCAGCCCGCAGCGTTTGTCCCTGCCCGGCTGCCGTCCGAGAATGGCAGAACAACACAGAACTGTCAGAGACAACTTCTGCTTTCATTGCTCTGCACTGATTTGAATATAAAAACACCGCAGCTCGGTTGTTTCTGCCGCGGCAGTTAGAGACGGTTGACCGCACTCACTCACTCGCTCACTAACGGACGCCGCCGCTGTCCGACCGTTGGCGGCGGTGCTCCGGCGTTCGAACCGTGACCGTTGGCGGCGGTTGGTAAGTTTTGGTTAGCTTCTGTTAGCAGTTGTAGCACGGAGCTAGGCAACTTCGGTTCACTTTGCCCTGAAGCGTTTCAGCGCTAATACCAATACGAGACGTTTTGTGGCGAAATGTGTACAAAAGTATAGGTGACAGGACTGTTAGTAATGTCTGTATGTTCAGTCAGTGGCACAACACGAGTGTGTTTATGAGCTAATCTCTCTCTCTCTCTCTCTGTGTGTGTGTGAGAGAGAGAGTGATTACGGGCTGTACTTTTATATGACGTGTGTTTCCATAGATACAGAGGCAGTTGAGCTTTTTATAAAGTGTTTATTGTTTGTTTGTTTGTTTGTTAGGATCCCCATTAGCTGTGCCCTGACACAGTGGTTCCCAACCTTTTTCCTTAAGGGGCCCCTTTTTATATAACGTATTAAACTGACATATATGTTATAGGTATTAATATTATATTCAAATCTGTACAATAAACCCAAATAATTAACCCAGTAACTGCAAGAAGTGTGTGTAAATGAGTGATTTGGATGAATTTTGAGCAGATTATTTCCTGTTTAGAGAACTTTTTATACAGTTCTCTCTCTTGTATATTTCTAACAATCATACAGACTTAATATTCTCCTTTTTTTGACAAATTCAGTGTTTTTTTATTGTTCTAATAGCTATTTTAATGCAGGACGAGGCTGTTTATCAGAGAGTGAAGTCTCTGTGAATATAGTTTACGTCTTAAATAATAATCCAAACTTTGAAAATAATAAGTTCATTTAGTTTCCTTACACCCCTTTTGGTACTTTAAGGATATTTTGATGCTGATACTTTTGTACTTTTACTTAAGTAAGAGTTTGAAAGCAGGATTTTTAGTTATAATAGAGTATGTTGCATTGTAGTATTGATATTTTATTGAAAGCAACGTACGTAAGGGACAAGGAGCAACCAAACACTTTAATGGTTTTAGTGTTGAGTCGTCAGCAGTGCCATCACAGATCATAAGAAACCAATAAAGATAAAAACAACCCTCTCCTGCTCCCACTGGAACCAGTACAATCCAGTACAATGAGGAAAAATGACTGAAATTAATATCACAAGAGTATAAAAGTTCATTCTTGAAAACATTTTCTTAGCTAACTCATGAGGACTGTAAGATACAATTAAGAGCTTTGGAAAAAGCTAGTAAGCTGACCATGAGTTATATTATATTTACAGTGGTAAAATTAGGAATATTATCGGGAGAATAAAATGACAAATAATGTCTATTACAGTGCCTGACTTAATGTTACGTAATTAAATAAAACCTGTATGTTTGTCCTTTGTTTCTTTAATAAACAGAGAATCTGAAGACACATAAACAAGAGAGGCATCAGAACAGGACAGAAGATTATCTTTAGTTCCTGCAAACTGATTTATTGTTGGGAATGAACAGAAGAAGATGCCTTCACTGTCCTGTAGGATGGAGAGTCTGAAGTGATGGAGAACAGAGAGGAGGGGTAAACACACACACACACACACACACACACACTGTCCTGATTATATCTCCCAGCAACCATCACTGGAGATAAGTTGAATTCAAATAGTGAGATCCCACTGAAATCGTGTTTCCTTTAGATGTGAGATTAAATGATTAACTGTCAGTTAAGCTTTAATTAAACTTTTATTACTGAGTTCAAAGTCTTTTTATAAGTGGCAAACCAATTAAAGCTGGTTAATATGTGTCCGTTTTATATATTTATGTTAAAAAATCAGTCAGTTTCAGCCTCTATAATCCAGTATTAGTGAAAAATACTGGAGTTTTTGCTGTTTAAACTTAAAATAAATCTAATTATCTGGATAGGCTAACCTCCATGACGGGCTGCAGCACTATCAGACCCACATCAGAAGAGTGTGTGTGACCAGTTTCGCAACTCTGCGTTGCCGTTTGCCGTATATACGAGTGTTGTGTACACTGTTGCTGTTCAGGCATTTACAGATGTTCTCCTCCCTCGAAACATAACTGCATGTCAGGGCCCGCAGATGCTGAGTTATCGGTTTGACGGATGAATGCATGGAATATTTGTGTGTGTGTTATCACAGCCCTGCAGATGAGCGGGCCGCCACACCTCCAGAGCGAGGCCTGCTCCACATCTGGCAGTCGGCAGGCCCCTCTGCACACCGCGGTCCAGAGAGAGTGCTCCTGTCTAGGCCTGTACTGCAGGCCGCCCTGGGAGAACACCATGGACTCCTGCTCACACAGGGTGAGTGTGGTAAAGTAGGGCTGTTCTGTGCCAACATTTAATAAAGGTATTAAACTGGACTAATGCTCAGGAACTAATTGACTGTCCTGTAGGGGTGTCACGATTCTCCAAATCCTCGTTTCGATTTAATTTTCGATGTTAAAGTCACGATTCGATTCCATTTTCAAACTTTTTTTAATATTACTATTAATGCATTCCTTATAGTGTTATTGTTTATGTTACTTTTTGGCTTTTCGCTATTCTGTTTGGGGGGGCTTTTATTTTGAAAGCCGTTCACCGCGAGGTGTGTGAACAGACATTAAACAGGAGGACGTGAACATAGTGAAATGAAACAACACAGAATGATGATTTGATTGTTTTGCAGCACCTCCGGAGAGCCCGGAGGTTAGTGTTCTGGAGATATGATTATCATGTGCTTTTTAAGTTTTAAGTCAGTTTGGGACTGTACTAGATCATGCTTTTTCACTTGCTCAGTAGGAGTAGGTACCAGTTTAAGTTAGTGTTTAACTTGACGTGGAGATGAACGCAAAATACTTCCACAGCTGGTGATTTCAGAACAGCAAGAGGGCTTCGATTTCGG